GGGGGGGGGGGGGTGGTGGTGCTGGTGGTGGCAGTGCTAGTCCTGTTGCTTCTAAACTTGGTTGCAACATTGAAGAGGGTGAAGGTATTGGAGTTGGCAAGGGTCTTGTTGCCATTACATTTGACTGCAACATGGAAGGGGGGGTGGTGGCTGCAATGGTCTTGTTGCTGCTATATTTGGCTCCAAAATTGGAGGGAGTGGGGTGGCAATGGTATCTCTGCTGCTGTTACATTTGGGGGCAAAACTAAGGGTGGTAGAACTCGTGATGTTTCTTCTAATTCCAAATCTATAAAAAACTTGGGTGGTTGTGCTGGTGTGTCCGGTGGTAAAACCATTTTTGTTAATGGTATTGCTATTGCCACTTCCATGTTTATTGTCACCATGGATTTAGTAGTGCTCTTTGTTTCTGCATCATGTTCCTCTATCACATTCTTCTTTTGGCTCCAAATTTTTTGAACTCCAGCACAGGATAGCATGTGAAATGCAAGTCGGTTCACATCAATTGGGTTCAATTTCCCAACTACTTGCACTTTGAGAGACAAAAGAAAAGGTGAAGAATATCCTGATTTCGGATAACCATCTAACATTTCTCTAGGGACTGATGTAGGGTAGGAGCGGTTGTTGTCTCTAAATAAGAATCCTTTAAGGCTTTTTCAAATGTTTTGGTTTTTGCAACCCCAATCTTTCCAAATCCTTTAATCCTTACCTCTCTAACCAATTGAAGGGTATCCTTAATCTTCTTCCGTGACAGGAATGCACGCAATTTGATATTATGCGCCATTTGTCTCCATATTTTCTCCTCCATTCTAATATTTATTTATATATGAAGTTTGACTGGGTAAAACACGTGTTGCTGAATCTTCTTCACTAAGGATATGAAAATTTGAACTTCCTGGATTGCTTGTTCAACCTTTGAAATTATTTATATGGTTCTCTTTTTCTTCCATTTGGTATATGAAAATGAAAAATGTATGATAACAGTAGAATATTATATTCTTACATGACAATAATTATATATAATTGATTTTATTTATTCAATAGAACACATGAATCAATTTATATTCATTCGTTTGATGACTTATGACCATTATGAGAGACTAATAAGCTTAAGGAGCTTTTGTCTCTTATTTTATTTTATTTTATTTTATTTTATTTTAAATACTATGTTGGATGATAGACCATACAAACCCTTACGTTTTAGGTAGGTCTATGAAAACAATAGTGAACAAATGCATTGTAAAAATTCCAAAACGAAATTACCTGAGTAGTCCACTGGTGTTTACAGACCTGGGCTGACATTTACCATTGGGCTTCCTACATTAACGAATCGTGTCTTTTTGGTTATTATTCAGCCTTTGCCCTTGACTTGAGGAAGGAGTTTGGGCCAGTGGGTTTTAGCAACACTTTTTGTTATCATTTTTTGGAAAAAAAAAAAAGAAAAAGAGAAAAAATGAAATGTCTTTCTGTTTGAATTTTCAACTGATTCTAACGAGACAAAAAGTGGTACTACTTTTATTTAAAGATGAAGAAAAACTTTTCCAGTTCAAGATCCTAATTTTCTGGACAATTGTCTAATAAATTATTTTGGATTAATCCTACTCCCTCTCTCTCTATATATATATTATATAGGAAAAAGTATTAAGGAATCACATTAATTCCAGGATTCGCACAACCTGTACTTTCTAAATTCATTAGATTAATAGTTGTAATTGAAAATGTATTATTCGTATACTGTTTCCATATCAAATTGGGTTTAGTCTTTGTACTCTTCTATACATTGTACAGGACTCATTCTTGTTTAAATCAATGAAGGAGTCTTTATCAGATTCTGGTCTTTATAGCTTGCCAAGAATTTTGAACTTCTCGCATTGATTGTATTTTGAACTTCTTGCATTGCTTGTTCAATCTTTTGAAATTATTTATATAGTTTTTTCCTCAATTTGGTAGTAGATGACGCTGAAAAACGTAGGATTCGCATATACTCTTATTTTGCAATAAAATATTATAATCTTATGTAATAATAATTATGATTGATCTTTTTACCTAATATGACACATAAATTAATGTGTCATATATATAACTTATGATACTCTAATATTACTATTTGTAATTGCTGAGTTTGTTGTGAATGAAAATTAT